CCGCGGCAGCCATGGCCGCGCGCCCCCGCGCCCCGCGCGCGCCCGACGCCGGGTAAAGTCTTAGGTTCAGGGAACAAAGCCGACTGGGTAGGGCGCTTTCCGCCGCAGCGCTCGCGGGTTTGGGACTTCGCTCTCTGCGCCCCGACTCTCCTGCTGCTTGTGTCTCCTGGTCTCGCGCCCCGGGGCTCCCACTCCCCAGCTCTCGTCCACGCCCGCCGAGTCTTGGTCTCTTGAGTCGGTTTTACAGCCGCGGGGAAATTTAGGGATGACAATCAGGGCGCAAAAAAGTAGAACGGCACGGGCTGCGCGTCCAGGGATGCTGTTTGGTGCCTGTCCCGGGATGGCAGACAGTAGGTCACACGCAGTGATTCGCTCAATGAGAATTTATTGAGCGCTTGTACGTGCCAGCAGCCGGGACAGAAGGAAGCCACTTCGGGCCGCTCCCCATCGCAGTTACAGACTTGCGCGCCCACACTGGGGTTCGGGTCCAGGAGAGGCTTAGGGTCCCCACCCCGACTCGACTGCGCCTCCCTCCGGGCGCTTAGAGATTCCGCGTCCGCTGTGCAGCGGACCTGGGTCACCCTTGACCTCTAGGCGCGCACACAGGGTATCCGCAAGGCTGGCTTCAGTTACAGCACTTGAAATGGGTCTGGGAGTTAAGGGAAGGGGTCCGCTCGAAGGCTTCTTGTCCAAGGCCGGCTTGGGCCAGGGGGACGAGATCTGACCCCCACGACTCCTGGGGGGGTCGGCGCCCGCGGGAACCAAAGGTCACCTCCTCCACAGCGGGAGGTGGGGAGGTGGAGGGGAGCAAGCGGCCCTGGGGGCTTCGGCGACACTTCAAAGCCTGGGCGGCCGAGAGCGCTTCCTGGGAGGAGGGGGAAGAGGGGACGCGGGGGGGCTGGGCTGGGGCGCCCCCCTCCCGTGCTCTGCCCCCCGGCCGACTCTTCCGCCGGGCCCGCCTCCTTTTCACCAGCACCTGTTCAACCGGAACATCAAGGGGCCGGACCGCCGCCCCCCTCCGCGGCGCTTTAGTGCCTTTCATCCGGGAAGGGGGGCGAGTCCCCGCCCAGGAGGGGGGGACAAGGCGGGGGAGAACTTGTCCTTGACCTGGTCCGCGGCGTCAGGGATTTAGTCCCTTAATCCCAGCGAGGCGGGAGGTACGGGAGGTCTGGGAAGCCGCGATCTGGTCTCCAGCCCCCTCCCTCGCTCCGCTTGCTCCTGCGTGGACTCGGGCAATCCCGGAGGGCTGCCGGGAAGAAGAGGCTCTATGTGTACTCTGCGACTTTCCTGCCGGGGGAAAGGCCCCGATAACCAGCGGCTGCCCGCGGGTCGCGAGCCCTGGACGCCCTTTTTGGATCGACTTGTGAACTTTGCTCGTACGAAAAGTGAAACACCGGAGAACTGTCAGGAGTTTCTAATAAACCACCTGTAATAGCAAGAGAAAAATTGCAAGGAACACTCAGAAACGTCAACCCCGAGTGCATGCCAGGTTCAGCGTAAACGTTTGCTTTCCTTCGGGGTCCACCGCTATGAAGGAGGACGCATTTTCGGGGTTCGCAGAATGGGAGACACGATGGCTCCCTTGATCACTCCGTCCAGGGATGGGTGACCTGGGACACAGTCTGACAGCCGTGGTGTTGGATCTTCGCCGGGCTCGCTGTGTCCCAGAAGCCCATGGGGTGGGCCCGTGGCAACGCTTGCACTTTTAGCGGCTTAGAGACATTACTCTTTGATCTTTCCCACGTTTCTGGGGTGACGTTAACCCCCCCATATATACTTTTAATGTACTTAGTACAGGGGTCCACAGGGTCTCACTACACAAATCAGACTCGTAGTGATTCTGTTTACAGCCTCCCAAGCGCTGGGGATTACAGGCTCGAGCCACCACGCCCAGTCTCTATCGCTGTCTCAGCAGCCTGGTGGCAGGGCCCGCACCGCACGCCCGCGGATCGAACCTCCCCCCACTCGGAGTCGGCCTAAACTGGCGCTTTTAACCGCTGAGCTGTTTGGCGAGCCCTAACGCCCCGTATTATGGGTGGTGCAGGAGAGGTCCCCACGGATTAAGTGATTTAGTCCAAGCTTACACCCGGAAAACGACTATTTGAAGCTACTGTGTCCGCTACGCTCGGCCACCGCGCGTCGCCCCAGTGCCTGGGCGGGGCTGGAGCTGCGATCTCATCCACAAGGGTCCCCACCCATCTAGACGCCCACTGCCACGAGCTGGGGTGAATTCGCCCAGGGTGCCCAGGGCTAAGTTTGAGCACATTTATCATCCCCATCGCCCACCGTGTGTGCGGGTTCACAAAATACGGAGCAGGACACAGCCGGGCGTGGCGGCACACGCTCATAATCCAGGCACTCGGGAGGCTGATGCAGGAGGATTCCCTGTAGTTTAAGGCCAGTGTGAGCTCCGCAAAATGAGTTCAAAGTCAACCTGAACCACATAGCCAGACTGTCTCAAAACAAAACAAAAAGGGGGCAGGAACAGGTCCAACAAGTGGTCTAAGTCCATCGTGGCCTGGCCACGGATGCGGGGTGCAGCGCATATCTCGACAGTGCGACTTCACCTCTACCCGGTCCCTCGGGAAGTGGGGCGTGCACACCCTGCGGCGGAGACCCAACGAAAGCCCTCGCTGGAGCCGGGAGACGCGCGGTGGCGCTCGGCCCGCCTGGCCCTGCCCCACCCGCCCTTGCAGCGCGCTCCCGCACCCGCCGGCTCAGCGCGTCCCGCCGCAAAGGGACTAGGGCAGCGACAAGCAAACAGAAAATTATTTCCTCCCGTTCGGCCCGCCCCGCCCCGCCCCGCCCCGCCCCACCCGTCCCCGGAGCCAGAAGGGGATTATGGGGCCGCCGGGCGGGCGGAAGCGCGCGGTGTTGCTGCTCGGGCCCGACCGCGCTTGGCCGGGCTGTGCGCTGCGCGCCGTGTTGCGGGCCGAGGTTGCGCCTGCGGGCGGGACGGTCCCCAGCCGCTGCGCGCCTTTCCGCGAAGTCCCGCCAGTCGGTTCCCGGAATCGTGCGGGGGAGGCCGTGGGGCGCCGCGCTTTCGCTTCTACAAGCTAGCTCCGCGTTCGGTTTTGCCAGGTCCGGGGGACAGCGGGTGCGACCTCTGCCCTTGCCCGTTTGTCCCCGGGCTCCTTGCCGGCCCCGGGCGCGCGCTTTGGATTCCTATTCGGCGCTTTTGCGCGCCTTATTCTGCACCGCGCCCCAGCAGAGCTCCTGACCTTGGGGCGCTCGGAGGGGTTAAGCGCCTTCGCGAGATACCCCAGCCTGTGAGGCTTCGAGTGGGAGGGCCAGTGCGGTGCGCTTGGGAGGCTGAAGCAGGGGGATCTCTGAGGGTTCAAGGCCATCTTGAACTACATAGCAAGACCCTGTCTCAAGAAAACAATAAAAAGAAAGAAAATGAGGGTGGGGTGGGGTGCACCAGAATCGGGACTGATGGGTTCCAGTCCCGGCTCTGCCACTTACTGGCTGTGACGGCGACTTATTGGAACTCCCATTTTCCCCCGTGTGCCGACTTAGTGCCAGCTCAGGCGAAATAGGAGCAAGTTGCCCACCGAGTGCCCGGCACAGGGAAGGGTAATTTCCCCGGAAAGGTTACAGTGGGGATGGGCTCGCAGGGTGGGTGGACTGGTTCTTTCCACAGTCTGACGCTCTGGGCGAGAAGCAGGCAGCCTGATGCAAAGAGGAAATGGAGGGGACTCCCCCGCTGGCAATACGGGCGGTGGGGGTGGGGGGTGCGGTGCTGCTCTCGTGGGAGTTCTGGCTTTTCACAGATTTAACAGGAAGAGCGGCACGGAGTTTCAGCTCCTGCCTCTGTCCTTAGCTAGCAGCCTTGGTTTGCCAAACTGTAAAATGGGGGCGAAGGGAGCCCTTTCTCTTCTGCTTTGGCAACTACAGCCAGCCAGGTCTCAGAGGGAGCTTAGGGAGCTTTGAGCGGTGCACACCTGGATCCCAGCCAGCCCCTGAGAGGCTGAGGCAGGAGGGTCCCTGAGAGTGGGAGTGAAGAGTGAGTCTAAATCCAAGTGTGGAAGTGACCTGGACCTTGGGGTGGCTGGCCCTTTCTCAAGGGACATGGGGTGGGCAGGAGGGGAAGACGTTCATGAGGAGAGTGGCAGCGGGCTGTGGTGTGTTCACTGGCCACCCCTGTGATGAGGGGGATCCTTATGTATTGTAAAGGGGCACCAATAAAAACTTTAAAATTTAAAGAGAGAGTGGGAGCCAGTGGGGTGATGGCCACATAAGCAGCCTGCCTGGCAAGCAACAAGGGCCTGATCCCCAAAGAAAAGAAAAAGTGGGAGCCATCACCCTCAGCCCCTGTTCCAGCCTACCTGGAATCTTGTCCCAGCCCAGCCTCTGGCCCACTGTGTGACCTTGGGTAAACCCTCCTTTTGATAATTGGTGGGTGACATCTCAAAAATCCTTTGGAGTTGGCATGGTGTAGGTCTCAACTGCCCCAGGGAAGTTTCCCACTAAGGGTGACACATGTATTGTAAAGGGGGCACCAATAAAAACTCACATGACTCTTGCCAAGTCTTCTCTTTTCTGGCAGTTCTGCCTCAAGTCTACCCTTCAGCC